TAAACCCTCAAATTGTGAACAATGACGGTTCTCTGTCAACCTATAGCAATTTCCGCACTTCGAACACCGCACTCTAAAGAAGAATGTAATTAGTCAACTCGCACGCAGTTCCGATAAGCAAACCCTCGTCACAAATCAATCTTTATGCCATAGTGAATCTGTGCAGATACTTCCTGTCAACATCATCCCGCACATCGGAGAGACCAGGAGTTGGATCCAAAAACCGATCACGTGTTGTGCGAGAACAAGTGTCCGTTAAACACAAACTTTAATAAATAAATGGATGCGTGCATTTCCGGACGGGTGGGATACGATTATTTGAAAATAACGGGCATACATGTCAATACAACCCTCAACTAACCTAGAACAATTGTTATGATATCATAGTAAACATTTGTCACTGAATTCCATTCTTAACTGCGATACCACAGATGAGGTCGGATAAAATCGGCTTCGACATCCTCCTCATTGGTGGATGGGGAGGAATCAGTGGCCTTTTGCTCTCAAAACAACTATGGGAGTTAACAATGAACGGTTATAATTTTGGTTCCATTGGATTTGAACGCGAGTGCCATGAGTTGCCTCTGAAGACGAGTGATCAAAACACCTGCTTACCTATAGTAAAGTAGATCCCGATCAATCGGAGACAAACACAACAAAAGCCCACTCATATTTATGCAAAATCAGATGTTCTTATGTAAAATTATATGCAAACAAGGTTATGTAAAACGAAGTAAAATATAAAAAGAGAGAAGGTATGCAAATCTGATGGGAGGAGGCATAGCTTTAATATCGACTACATAAATGCGGAGAGGTGTACAAAGCGTAGCTATTTTGCGGAGATTAAGTGGAAATACACCGGTGGACGACGTATGTTGCTAAAACGAGGAAGTGATTAAAAAATCCAAAATTGGACCATTTATCCAATACATGCCGCATGCTGTAGCCCTGTAAAAAGAAAATTGACAATAATCTGACACCTTTCACACATATGCAAGTAAGACAATCTAGCGCTATATCACATCCATCATGTTAAGCACAAATAAAGTGTACAGAGCGTGTATGAAATGGAGGCACGACACACAATGGTAACAGTTCGTACCGCTATGCATCTGTGTGGTAACGCGGGTTGGCGATTCATTCTCGTGATATCATACCTTTTCCCGATTGCTTGCATCCATAGTGCAATTGAATTGCTCCCTAATGCTCTGATTCGCATCTTCAAGCAACTTGAGCATAATCACTAGTGCAAATGAATTGCATCCGGTATCATTTCTACGCACCAAGCGCGCCCAGTGACCTTGGAATTCAACTAACCCAAAGCAGCCAATGACGGCAGCCTCAATAACCCTTGCATGAATGTATGAGTTGGTGATGTGTGGTGTAGACGCGTGGGTGGCCTAGCGTGCATTCACCAACGGTGCCTAATCTGAAGCCAGTTCCACGCAGCTTAGGGGCACAAAGTCGTCCAAACATCTGATGCAAC